GTGAGCATAGGCTACTGCCACATGACTAATCTGTCTGTAACAGATCCAGATAAATTTGTTTTGCAATTCAAATCTTTAAAAAGCAAAAAACTCATTTAAAAGTGTTTTTTTCTCTTAATTTATGCTTCACCAGAAATTTGCTTCAAGCGCCTTCCACTTTACAACAAGGGATTCAATTGCTAAGCCTAGAGTCTCCATCTGACCTGCTTAAGTAAGCTCAATACACCCATCTGGCAGAAAGCTAAAGCATTAGACTTGCTTATGGCACAGTGACAGCAGTTTTTATCCTTTATGAAAAATGTATCTGTAAGACATACACCGAGTTCTTCAGCTTGTCTGTTTTGAATATAGGAGCAATATTGTATACGGACAAGGCACGATCGTCGCAAACACAGTATAATTTGGAGCCAAACATTGACAAGCTGTAGATGAGTCCCTGGGATTAGTTTAAATAATCGCATTATACTAATTAACTGCAAATCGAAAGCATACGTGCTTAAGGTCGTAAAATGCTTCCTCGTGTGAACATGGCCGACATATGATGAGTTCACCAGCCCAAGTACCTGCCACAATGTGAAGATTTTCCCACGCTGTTCCTTGGATCAAACACGAAATTCTTGAATATGTGGCTGTAGTGATCATGACGAGATAGCAAAAAGAAAACGTTACCATACATCGCAACTACTTTCTGAGGTGCAATATGGCACAATCTTGAGAGCTTGCTTCTGTCTACATTGAAATCTTCGACAAAGATGTCTAAGGATGAAGTAACAACAACCATCTGCAAGAATTATTGCTCAATATAGTTTGACCGTTGGCATTAGATAAAAACCTGCCTCATTCGATTTTTCTAGCAACTTACAGCCACTGAGACTGCAATCATACTTATTCAGCAAGGTTGTTCTCGCTGAGTAAGCAAACACAGAAGTCGAGGAAGATTTGACATTATGATGTACTACAGTATTATCCAGCGTTTTTTTACACGTTGATGCTTGCTCTTCAAATGCGAAGATCGTCTCATTCGATAAATAAGAAAGGACTCGTTCTTGCAGCACCATTACTCCATCTATAATTTAAAACTTTCAAATATATGCAAACAGCAAAAAAAGGCAGTCGCCAACAGTCCTGCATCCTAAAGAAGGGATCCGGGAAATCAAAGAAGGAGTTACGCATAAGGCTAATTACTTCTCTGTTCTAGAAAAAACACAAAAACTGGGAGCATACCTTTTGCACTAACCATTTCAGTGATGTCTATTCCAGCAATGAGATCAATAGTCTTGAGATAACTGTCGTCGTTGCTGAAAATGTCGATATGGCTTCCATTCGCTAAAAATATGATATAGTATAGGAACATTAAAGGTTCGAACGAATTTTCAACTTTTACCTCTTAACTTTGTAATGTATTCAGCAACTGTGCAAACCTGAGTAACCCTTATAATATATAATAAGCAAATAATCTACCGCTCCCCCAACCCCAAGTACTAGCAGTCGCAAATATACTTAATTAAAAAGATAGCACGTGTCAGAACTTTATGCTACACACCATCAAGCTGTACGGAACCTCAAGAGCAGAAATGTCATTCTGCCTGAAATCATACTTCCTAGGTTTGTCTGAAAATGCAGATCCGCGCTTAGCCTGAACGTCAGAGAATTTGCTCGCCATTCATTAGGTAGGTGGGACCGAAAGTCAGTATAAGCACCGACAGACCAACTACTTCTGGAAGTGCTAGCAGCACACAGTCTAAATGGGTGCTGATCACAATATGTAAACACGGTTAGAGATCGAAGATTTAGAAGCCTTACGAGTTTTTGCATCACTCAGATACTGTGCGGAACTAAAGAACTATGCACTGATGCGGCTTTTTGCACAGAGCGACAGTCGATTTTTTCGCTTTTAATGAGAATGGGAAATTGAGAAATTTCGATACGAAATTCAAGTTTATTCGTATTTACTTAATCTTTCATTTGATGTTTGCGTTTTTTAGACCTAGCGCTGCTCAAAGCAAGGATTTTAGGAGGGCTTGACGGCACGTTGCCATTTTTCTTTAACAGCATACTAGAAAATGGTGGCCTCTTGGCATAGCGCTTCTTAAGCGTCGAGAGCTCGCAACTGCGATGCAAAACAATGCTACATGTAGGCAAGCATCACCTGCAGAAAATCTCCCTCTTTGGAGCTCTGAATGTTTCGTATGGCACGATCCAATTGTCAGTATTGCCAATGACTACACACACAATTGAAGCACTTCCAACTTAAGAGGACTAAGTAACCTCGTAGAAAGCTGTAGAAACACCCTCAAATGTGAGATGATAGTGGATCAAAAACCAAAATTCGAAAAAGCGCTTGGTAAGACTTTGAAAACTCAATTGTAACGGCTATTTCATCCCTGCTTCTCAGAAGCAAGAGATGATCAATGATCAGAGCAAGAGATCTGTCATTCAAGCAAGATTTTCTGGTCACACTTGTGCATAAGTCTGGTAGCGAAAAAAAGGGATGTGATAATCGGCTTCGCTCAGATGCCTTACTCATCGCGGGAGCTAACTCCTACTCAATCGTATGAATACATCCCAGTAAATACTACGCGCCTCAAACATTTCATCTCTACGATAAACCGAAGTAAGAAAAGCCTCGACTTTAAAGCAACCATCAAAAGTTGCAAGAAATTGGCCAACTCCAAGCTCACGGCAGTCTCCGTGCTATATTTAAAAAATCTTATACATCTTATACACGTTTTCCCGACTTTAGGGGCTTATCACGTATATATAGTCCATATCGTACAAGATGTCATGAATGTTTTGGAATTCACCGGCTTCATTGATTGAGCTGTTGACAGGAGATGCAAATTTGAACGCGCTTAGGAATAAACTAATGAGTTGACATGTCAGAGTAAATGCTCACTGATTTTCAGTTCGCCCGCTTGGCCGAGGACCACATACCCGAGCATTAACTTGTTAGAAAACAACAAAACAATTCAGCGAAACAATTCAAAACATTTTTTTCAAAAGATTGACAAGCATGAAAATAATGTGCTAGAGTGAACATAGTACAAAACAATGTCTTCCATTGAATGTAAAAGTATCTTTCACGCCAGACTCACAACGGAAGCTTTACATCAAGAGGGCTCAATCGCATTTGATACAAGTTTCAAGGACTGATTCCTTCGATACAATATCGAAGAGTTAGCATTAAACTTTCGCATAGCGGCGTTGTAGCTTCCACATTTCATTCTATGGAAGTTTTCAAGAAAAATGCAATGCAAAAACAAACCTCTGACACGTCTTTTTACATAAGAAAAAATTCACCCACATCAAAAAAATCTGAAGCAAACCTACCGCAAAGCAGCAACGAACTGTGTTCAAGTAGTGCTAGACGGCGGCAGCAATTCACAGAAGACAACACTGTTCCACTTGATGACATGATGACAAATCTGCTTGATATCTTCAGATAAAAGATCGGAAAGGAA